CCTAAAGAAAAAAAAAAAAAAGACAACCAAAAAAAAAAGAAAGCCATCCCACTCTTTTGTTCTTACTACTTTCATCAAGTGCACTCCATGGGTGTTCAATTATGTGTCAGTATGTAGCTCAGTGTGTAACTGGACAGGGGCAATGCCCACTGCATCCTGTGACGTGGGCCTTTCTGTTGTATCATTGAGTCTGGGCGAAGCTCTCATCTCCGGAGTGGTAGTGACACACGTTTGCTGTGAGAAACTGCAGCCTCCTCGGCAATGCCCAAGCCCATTGCTGTGGTGATGCCAGAGCGCGTTCCTTCATTCACTGGGAAGCACTTCCGCAGGAGGCAGATGGCGGGTGATCCTTAATTCTGCATGTGCTGCCCCGGGAGCTGCCAGAGGCCGGCCAGTGCTAAGCTATTAACAAATGCTAATATGAGTGCTAGGGAACCTACCTGTCTGCCTCAGCAAATATTGTCAGAGGCTGCTCCACTGCTCTCGAGGTTGGAAGGGAAGTGCAGCTCTTAAGAGCAGTTCCACCCGCCCAGTCAAAGACTCCCCTCTACCGCGGCCTAGTCTAATGCTCACTCCACCAACACTGACGCATGCTCAGACACCTCCTGCAACTCGTGGCAGACACCTTTCCAGGCCACTGTGTATCTTTCAGGCCTCCCCCAGTGTTATAAAGCACGCCTGGGGGGCTAGCAGGTGGTGTGGTTAAGCTGTGTATGGTTTAAGTCCCAGATCTGGTGGCTTGCTTTCTCATTTCCTCTCTCTCTTTCTCTGTCTCTCTGGTGAGTAGAGGTGCCCTGTAGCAAATTTGAAAAATTATAATAAAATGATAAATAAAAGTAAAGAAGTCATTATTAAAAACCAAAACACTCTGTTTGGGCCCTCGTCCACTCCTTCTACCACACTGCAGCTTTCCTGCAGCCTCCATCCCGTGAGATGTGGACTGCACAGACAGCAGCAGGTGGCCTCGTCAGAGCAGGGCTGGGACGCGCAGGACAGCCGTCTCCTTCCTCAAGGTGCTCTTCTTTGTTGATGCAGCCTAAGGCTGAAATCGCTTTCATTTCATTTTCTCCCACGAGCAAGAGAGACAGAGTCCAAGAGCACCCCTAGGATCCTCATGCGTCAGCCGGCCACCCACGGGCATGCACACACACAGCATGCCCAGAGTGCCTCGGTGGGACTTTCCCCTGTGGCTCAGTCATTTTCTTTACCGCTGCCACCTCCCGGCTCTGCAGTTTCTTTTCCAACAACCACATCACTGTGGACTGACCCAAGAACAGACCACAAAGACCACGATCTCAGCCCCGCCCTGGGCTGCTGCTGGCACGCGGGCCCTGCAGCTCAGAGTCACCAGAACGCAGCCCTCCTGGGGACCATGCCTGCCCATCCACCGGTCGTCCCCTCTGGTCCCTGGGGAACCACCCTGAGACATTTTCATGCTGTTGAACCTTTTAAATCGGTGGTCATAGACCTCGTCCCACAGCCTGGAACACGTCCGAGAGCGAAAGGAAGCACTGTCGTTAGATGCCGGTGGATGGAAGCTGGGAACGTCTTTGAAGGGCTGGAAGTGTGGTCTCCTCCTGAATCGTGAGGAAGCTGTTTGAGCGGGAAATAGGCTCAGTACGTCCTAGCAAGTTCTTATCCCATCCCAGAGGCCAGGCCAGCAGGCTCCCTGGAGTGGCCTCATGCCTCCGCCGGCCCCT